TGAGCAGCTTAGTCAGACGAATTTATACATTAGGGGACTTTCGCCTGATACCACGGACAAGGTCCTTTACAACATGTGCCAGCAGTATGGCAAGATCGTCTCGACGAAAGCCATTCTCGACAAATCAACCAACTGCTGCAAAGGTACGGTACAGTCTGTTTTTGGGGAGTTAGAAACAAGATATAATAACTCATAGTACTTTGAAGATTGATAAAGATAATGATAATTTTATTCGGCAAACTAAGTCACTATTTTAGTTTCTTGTCGAAAACTTGTTCACCGCTCTTGGCAAGCTTTACTTTATTCTCTACTATCGCAGTCAACCATAAATTAACGACTCGACCATACTAACAACTGTTGGGTAACTACATAGAACGCTTAGTTGCCGAAGTGGACCCCTGGTTCTTAATCCAGACAAAACCCATCGTCAAGAACAGAGAAGAACCGTTTGCAGCTCTCCGTCATTGTGAAGCTGAGGTAGATTTCAGATCAAACGGAAATGACAATTGTAGTTACAACCTGACTATCTCGTATTACCGTACGCTCCATATTGTTTGCAGTTGATAAAGACTACTTACTTCTTGCAGTTCCTTGGTCCTGCACAAAGACGCCTTTACGCCGCATGTATTTTTAATAAAGTCATGACACCTTACTCAGCCAAAAATTCTGTTATGTGCATGCGGAAGGGAGAGAAGCCACGAACTCCTGTTACGAGCGGGAAATGGTTGGTTAAGGAGGCTCAGGTGAAAACTTTAATGACATTGCTGTTTCTTTGAGCCTGACACTAACTCCATATTTCTGTTACATGTCTTCGTATTGTGTTTGACGATCCCTTTCCAAGGTTACCAGCCGATTTGGTGTCTTTAACAATGTCGCATTATAGTTCTGTAGAGACTTTCAATGGAGCCAGCTGCATTTTGAAACCCGTAATGAATAAGTGATCTCCCACAACTTAGCCAACATCCAACAGCATCGTTTGCTCCATTCACAAAAGTGTTGTGAATG